ATTCTGTGCCAACATGGGAGACTCCCTGGTGTGGTGGAAGAATGTGAGTTCAAGGCTCATTTTTTGCTTTGTAAAGACTGTGAGGTCTCTGATTTGTTACCTGAATCCCCTGAGCCTAAATTTGTATGCTGAGATAATGTATATGGAATGAGAGCAGTGAATGCCCAAGCATATGAAAATTGAATGACACGGGCATAATGTAAAAGCAGAAGCTTAAATTTATGTATGAGGCCTTGTTGTATGTAGAGAAGCACAAATGAACTGTTGCTTGAATGTTGCTTAGCTGACCTTGTTTCTCCAAACCAAATAAACATTGCTTCAATTTTTGAGCTGCACTTGTGACCTCAAGTATATGAGATGGGCAGTGTCACAAAACTATGTTATTGTGCTGGTGTCTTCATAATTCTGCAATCTACCTGTAGTGTCCATAGCAAATCTTAATGCAATGTTGAAGGCTTATTTGTTCTTTTTTGTTTTTTTGGTACCTGGGATCGATCTCGGGTCCTTGAGCTTGCGCAGCAGGTGGCGAAACCACTGAGCTAAATCCCCAGCCCAAGGCTTATTTGTTCTTTGAAAACCCATCAAGTGAATGGTGCACCTTGCTCTCAGGTCAGGGAACTAAGTCCATTACCAAAAGTTTCTCAGGTGCCAACTAAACGTAAGTCATAATTTTCTATTCTTAGAAAGCTTATATGTTAATAATTAGGGAGAAAATACAACTGATGCATGAAATATTAAGTAATATATTTAAATAGAAATTCAAGATAACAAAAAAACATAATATATAGGCAGTAATAGATAGTCGTCAAGAGCGTGATTCAGGCGAAATTTGCAGTTCAGAGGAGAGAAATGGGTGAAGTTCTGAGAGTCAGCCTATGCACAGAATGGTCTAGACACTGATGCTGCAGGACTAGTCTAAGGCTATTTTGTCTCTTAGATATCATTTTTTTTTGGTACCAGGGATTAGATATCATTTTTTAAAGCCTATGAGTCTTATTTTTTATAAAGAACTATGGACTTTGGTGGAGAGCCTCTGGCAGCCCTGCTCAGATATATTTGAATAACTGGTCATTTTGGTGGCATGTGGAAAATAGTCACTTTCTTTAGTGTTCCAGGGTTCCTTTGGAAAGGAGTAGGTTTGACTTCTTGAACCTGTTTTCTCATGGAAATAGGGATGGTGTTGTCTGCCTGCATTTTTGTGAAGGTTAAGCTAGGTGATGAAATGTACTGCCTGGTAGATAGCGCAGACCTTCAATAAATGTTCATGGAATGTTTCCTATAGACGAGACATTAACCTGTAAAAAGGTAATAATTTGAATATAAGTCATAGTCCAAGAAAAGCTGTTAGCCCTCATGTTTACTCCAAGGTTACTTGAACCAAAAAGTTCTGGTGCTATAGTTTGAGGTTTAGATCATGGACGGGGTGGTGGGTCAGACTGGGCCACAGATGTTAGGCATCCAGGAGCAGAGGCTGCCTTCCCTTCCTTTCACCACTGTTTACAGGGAAGCAGTGAGCTGCAAGGACTCTGGAGTCAGAGAGCCAGACTTGACTCTCCTTTAGGTTCTTGTATTTTTGTTTTATCTGTTTCTGTATTTGGGAAGTTACTTGCTCTGTATTGTTTTCCTTGTCTAAAATAGACAGTGATATGTACTTTATAAAGGTCAAAATGAGCTGATGCATGTAGCAGTGGATACTACAGTTACTGGAATGTAAAAATTGCTCAGTAAATGTTATTCATAACAGAAAAAAAATTTACTGGCTTTCTCATGATTGCCTCATGGTTGGCTCTGTATTAGGAGTTGTCGGATGCAATGATAATAATGGTGATAACAGATAACAGTTAATAATGGTGATAATAGTTAACATTTTTCCAGTGCTTACTCTATTCCAGACTTGATACATACTCCTTAGATCCTTTGACAGCCATATAAGATAAGGGGGATTGTGGTCCCACGAGACCAAGATACAGGATATTCAATAAGCTTGCTCTCTAACTTCATGATCTAATAGGGGAAACAGACACACAAAATAGACAATTCTAGTGTAGAATTATGTTCACAAGTGCCTTATCCATAAATGTCAGCTCCTATCCCCTCTTTTTTCCAAAAAGGTGGTATTATCTTTGCAATCTGAGGATAAGCCGGTCCATAGCATTGGTGTGATTTTGTATGAAATTTTCCTGTTCACTCTTGAAACCCTTCTGCCTTGCATAGATCTTCACATTCACTAACCCCAGATGAGCAGTAGAGCAGGGGAGAAGTTTGTTCTCCTGCCTGCACACCATCCATTGACATGTGGAGCTTGTTAGCAAGAATGTATCACTGAGTTGTGAAGCTAGTGCTATCTCTCTGATAGCAGACTTCTCATTCTGAAAAAGCCTGTTATTTTCTGACTTTAAGCTTGGCAAACATGCTTTTTCTTCAATCTCACACCATCATTGAGGGTGTAGGATAGCACAGGAAGCACTATCATTTGATTTCTGCCTCTCAGTTTTTCTAATTGTTACATAGCAAGAAAAGAGGTCTGAGAATACGGCCCATCATGGACCATAAAAGACTTCAAATCCTAGAGTTAAAATAAATGTAGGAGGTGGAAGCCCCACCTTGAAACTCATGGGTTTGGGGAAGTACTGATGCTTCTGTGAGCAGAGCTTCTAACTGTGGCCTCCCAGGAGATCAGCCACATTATCCCTCTCCTTGGGGGAAGTGTGCAGGGAATGCTCAGGAGGTGGAAAGAGGCCTTGGCCTTTGTATCTTTGCACGAAAGGCAGGGGTATCTAATGTGTGGTATTTGTACTCTTGTGACAGAAATCTCTTTCAATGAAACATACATTTTAGGGTTTAGCCATCCTGCAGGAAGCACTAACTCAGTAACAAGTCTGTGTGGTGCTGGGCCCACGACTGGTAGGAGTTCCTGTCAGGGGTGAAATATGAGCAGGGTGAATGGGACTTGTTTACATTTGTGATGAAACTGAACCTCCTTGTATGCATGGCATGACACATATATTCACACATATACTTCATTGTGATGAGGCCCAGATTCATCAAAATGCAAAGAACGTTTTAGTCTAAAGAGATGACCAAATAGTGATACAACAGTTCTCCCCAGACAACATACTTTTCTGAAATCTGAGGACAGGTAGAAGGTGAAGCTTGCTTATGGAAGGAAGAATGACTTTGAGTTGATTCTTTTCTGTACTCAGGGAATGTAGATGTCAGTTACTATACAGTAAAATAGAAGGATCTCCGAGTCTGAAGGCTGAAAGAAACCTGCTTGGGAAGCATCTCCTGAACTGGTTGGAATACTCTGCTAGTTATCAAGTGAGGCCTGAGATGAGTTACTATAGCAGGATCTGCTGGATTTATTCCATGGCCATCTTTATAAAGGTCTTTATAGAGGTGAGAGCTGGGGAGAACCCTGTCAAATTTTCTTTTCTCATTGGCATTTAGGTGCTGTGATCTGGCATTGTGAGACATCAAGTCTGTAAGAAATACTTACAAAATGAGAATTGACAGGGTCCCAAAATATTCCAGCAAATATACTTAAAAGGAAAATAGAAGGCTGGGATGACATTCTGGGAAAAATTGATAGTACTGAGAGCTTTGCCCATGGATGGCCAGGAGTTATGGAGGGCAACACATGAACTGTTACTGATTAGAAGGAGCAGGACCTCCAGAGGACTCTGCCCTCTGACACAAAATGCTGGTGGTGTTTGTGTAGTTGCTCAGTCTTACGCCTCACTTCTGTTTCCCAGATGGAGACCAGAGGTGAAGGAAGTCAACAAGAAAACCAGTTTCTCCATCTCTCCAGAAGAGACAACTGTGGTTGGAAAGCTAGACATCAAGACTATGTTTGCTGTTTATACCTATACCGATAAACGTTATCATTAGGAATACTTGGCCTAGGTTGAAAAACTACAGGGATTTTTAGGAAACAGGTTAACAGAATAGTGAGAAGGAAATTGCTAGGGAATGAGACAGGAGATGGAAATTCATGCTTTCATATACAAAGAAAAAGACCAGGAATTTGAGCCACCAATGAACACTTCTGTATGTTCTTCCTAACATTGCTAAAATTGGACTCAAAATGAAAACACAACACAGATCAGTTTCTCTTCCAGACCTTCCCATTTTTCTTAATTGGTACACTTATCCACTTGCACAGAGTCCAAAGTCTAGGAGTATTTTTGTATTTTCTTCACATCCTTCCTCCCTGTCCTAGACCCTCAATTGTTTCTTTTCTTGCTTCCACCTGTGAGCCCCTGTCAGTCTTACCCGGGCCTCCTCACTGGGCCTTGTGTGTCTGTCTGTTCTTGCCACCATGCACTGTGACCTCTGCCCATCACTCCTAGCAAAGGCAGATCCTCCACTGGAGTTTGTACACTCAGAGGGGAGTCTGGCCTTGACTCATGAGGGTCTTTGCACTTCTTTAGTCTTGTCCTGCACTTCTGGTCACTGGATGTGCTTTGCTTTGGCTTGCTCTCTTCCCCTTGCCCATGACAGGTGATTCTTGCCATGGGCCCTGACCCCTAGCTGATGCCTTACCTAGAGTATTCCTTTCCCCCACTTAATACCCCCTTCATCTAAACCCGATTCCTTCTTGTCTGTCAAATCTTTGCCTCTCTGAGATTCTGTCCCTGACCTGTCAATCAGAAGTAGCAACTATTCATTCTGTTCTTTGGAGGGTACTCATTGCATTTTGATACTTGGCTTTGTTTTATTGTTTGCTGGTGTGCCTGTCTCTTTCTTCTAGAATGTCAGCTTCTTAGACCAGGGACCCAGTCTTTGTTGCCTGCTATCTCCCAAGTATCCAGCAGGGTACACAGTACAGACCTGTGGAATGAGTAACCAAACCTGTTGCTCAGCTGATCATTGAGAAGCTCACTGGGGACCTCTTACTGTGGAAGTCACCGACAATGCAAACGTATATTGGTGGGGTTTCCTTCTTCCTCCCACTACTTCCCCTGAGGTCTGATTGCTGGTCTTCTGTTCCCTTGCAGCCGCCCATGCCAACTTCCGTTCCCGTCAACAGTGCAACAGCACAGCCCCATGTCCTCACAGACCTCCTCCGTCAGTGGGCCACTGCACTCCATCTCCTTGCCACTTCCACTTCCGATGACCCTGGCGACTCAACAGCCCCCTCCAGCTCCCTCCCCTAGCCAGCAGCTTGGTCCGGATGCCTTTGCGATTGTGGAGCGAGCCCAGCAAATGGTGGAGATACTAACAGAGGAGAACCGGGCGCTTCACCAGGAACTGCAAGGCTATTATGACAATGCCGACAAGCTTCACAAGGTATATGACTACCTGGTACAAGGGATGGAGAAGCTGCTCTAGAAGGAATGAATTCTTTACCTGCTCATGGAGTGTAAATTCACTGATTAACTTGCCAGCGTTTAGAGGCCCCTTTCTATGCTAGGCAGTGTAAGGGTTCAGAGGGACAAAAGTAAATTACAACCTAGGGCTACATTGGAGGGGCTTGCATCCAAAAGAGGAGAAAGCTGTGTAAGCTAATGCCTGCATGGGGAGTGTGCAAGGGATCCAACAGACACAGGGGAGGTGACTCTTGACCAGGGATATAGAGGCTAAGTAGGACTTCCCCAGGTGGACACGTGTAGAAGAGGGAACAGAGTAACACAGAGGAATGAATTGTGAGAGATCAGTTTTTATTTATTTATTTATTTTGGTACTGGGGAATGAACTCAGGACTTTGTGCTTTCGAGGCAGGCAGTTGGAACCACTGAGCTAAATCCCCGGTGAGAGATCAGTTTTAAATCTGGTACTCTGAGGAGCCCTATGCTTGCCGTGTTGTCTCATTAGCTATTCACTGCAAAATGAAGCAGTGCCTCAACACTGGAGGTCAAGAATACCGGTTAGTGCATATCTTCCTTCTGTTTGCCACTTATCTGGTGGAGAGATGCTGAGTAATTCCAGCCCACATGGCTATAATGGTGATATCAGAATGTGGGGCAGCCCTTGTCTTTAGACCTTTATGCTCAGAGCCAGACTGAGCCTGGACACATCAGTTATCATTTCTGGGGCAAAGAGGCATGTAGTAGTGATCTTATGAGTCTAAATGCCTGACTCTGTCTCTGGCAATAAGAGGCTTTCTTAAGGAGAAAGGATAGGAATATAAACTCTCCCTGACTACAAGAGCATTCATTGTCCCTTTGGCTACATATAGCCATTGATGATCTTGGCTACATGATTTACTATTCATTATTTAGTATTAATTTCACAGGTAAAGGTGGTCCTTTTACTGGTCAGGGTTTGGGCATTGCAGCCCCCTCTCCATTCCCAGGAACAGCCAGTAAAATGCTAGGGGCAGTAGATCTGATGGTGAGAATGTTCACAGACAGAATCTGCCCCAGCATGTTTGTGCAGAACTTCCACTGGAAAGGTCTGGAGCTTTCTGAGTCAAGACTAGACTTGGCTTTGGCTGCCTTTATTGCAGGGGGGAAATGAGAGCCAGAAACACACAGGGATGCCTGAAGACTGCACCCCCACTCCCACCCACATTTGAATCCTTGGAAATTGGGAAATAGGCATGTTGTTTCCTGGCCCCAGCTTGCCTCTGACCCCTCTCAGGAAAGCCTCATATAACCTGAGAATTGGGAGGGACCCACTAAGCACTTCTGGGAAACCAGTATTTCTTCCCTATAATGAAGCTCCAGAGTAGACATGTCCAAGAGCACTGTAGACCTTGTAGAGCACTGCAGAGTTTGGTGCTGCATCTGAGCTAGGTGTGGTGGGGGAGGCTGAGGCAAGGGAATCACTAGTTCAAAGCCAGTCTAGGCAACTTAGTGAGATCCTGCTTCAAAAGAGAAAAAAAAAAAGAATATGGTTCTGGGTGATACTGTTAAAGAGTTACATGCATAGTACAGAATGATCATTGGCTTATTAATATATACTTTTCATTGACTAACAATTTCTTGCTTTTGATGCACACTTCTTTTTTGAAAAATAAAATCACTTAATCTCCCAGTACATCTATTTCTCCTGCCCAGGGGGTGATTCTTGGAATTTGTGGTCAAAGGGATTTATATGACTTCTGAAAATGGAAAGCTGTTTTTCTTCTGGAACTCAAAATTCCTTCATTCCCTGAATATTGTAAACAGTTTCATAAATACTACATTTTATTGATCTGTCATCTGTCAAGCCAAAATCGTCAGTTTAAAAGCTCAAAGTTTGTTAGATTCTTGGCATACTCGTCATTAGTTCTATAGATGTTCTTAGCATCTAGGATTGAGACATAGAAGAGTTGCGTGAAATTGGTGGTGTATTATTTCATGCTTAGGCCATCCTGGTTCTCTAAATTACCTTACCATCAGCCTCGCTGCTCAGTGTTCTCAACAGTTGCTTAAGCCTTAAGTCTGAGGAGATCATGGTCAGGTGAGGTAATGACTTTTCTTCTCAGTGATGATGGCTGCTAGTTTCCTGGCATGGATTTGCCCCCTGCTTTAGGTGGCCCACAGCACCATACTATAGGATGTGACCATGCTATTCCTACACTGCATCCCATCTTCGATCCTCACAGCATTGGGAGACATTGGCCCCCACAGAGATTCATTGTAAGGGCAGAAGAAAGGTAGATGAATTTTTAATTGCAGACCTTTCTCCTGTGCACATTGTGCCAGGAACACAGCAAAAGAGAATGACTGAATTCAGACATTGCCAAAACCCAACCTAGTTATGGAGGTCTTGTTTCTAAAGGACCACAAGGTAATGGTTATCGCTGTTAGTATTGCAGTGATGATCAAGAACTCCCAGAAAGATCTGTTGATTTTGGTTTCTCATTTTTTTTTAACTGTATATCCTTTTATTGGTACATTTTAGGTATACAATATAATGACACTCATCATTGGAAATTTGCACCTTTACATACCCTCTTGGTTCTTATTTTTTCCCTCTTCCCCTGCCCTCCCTTCAACCCCTCCACCCCTCCTTATTTACAAAGATTTTGTTTCCCAAAAAAAAAAAAGATTTTGCTTCCATTTTTTCATTTTCTCATATTAATTCCATTCCCTTCTTTCCTTTCCCTCTCCCTCCCACTTCCCCTTGCCCTTTGCCCCTTTTCTTCCTATTTCACATTATCTGTTATACCTTTTAGTCCTTATTTACTCTTTAAGTTTCTCACACTAGAGAATTGGCTTCTCATCTTGCTTCTTTTTCCTCTCAGTTTCCCTAAAATTTAATTAATGGGCAGAGTTTCCACCAGGACCAGACTGTGGGCTATTGAGTGGTTGGCCTCGGAAGCCATCAGGGGATAGATAACACTGGGAGGGCAAAGGCTGAGCATTTACAGTTACTTCAGCCTTTGGGTGTTTGTGAGCAAAATGAGGGTGGCTTTGATTGGGCAGTCTGTGGTATGGACGACAGGCCTTTCTTTGGTCCTGGGTGTCCCTGAGCTGAGTAGGTGACGGTGCTCAGGGAAGAAGTCCACATTCAGAGCTTGGGACAGCTGAGATTTTCCTGAGGTCCTCTCTGCTCATTTGCCTTACGACAGTGGCACCAGTGGAAGCTGTGCAGAGCTTTCTGCTCTGCTCGAAGTTCTGTTTCTGGGGACACTGAGTGCTTCTCTCACGGCCCAGCCTGAGACCTCCCTGCAGCTGGGCTGGAGGGAGGATGGGAGCACTAGAGGCAAACTTGACTTTCCCTCTGTGTACCAAATTCAGTCTAAACATGCCCTCATGGTTTCATATCAGAGGCAGCTGTTTGTCTTTCCCTTCTTTGACAAATCTCAGAGACCTCCTCATGTCTGAACATGAGGGTTCTGAAGAAGAATGTGTGGCTCCTGTTCTGCAGGAGTGTGCAATCATAAATAAAAGAGGGCTGGGGGTTTAGCTCAGTGGTGCTCCACCTGCCTGGCAAGTGCAAGGTCCTGAGTTCAATTCTCGGTACCAAAAAAATTTGACAAAAACCAAAGAACAACCACAAAAAAGAAATAAAGGAGCTTTAGATTTAAAGTTCTTAATGTGAATCTGCTCTGACTTTCCACCTTTTAGAAATCCTTGTTTTGTGTCCCAGAAAGGAGGAGGCTGTTCATTTTTCACTTGAATATTTCCAGAGAAAAAAAGGTCACTACTGGGTATACTATACTTCTGGAAAATATAATTAGAAAACTCTTCCTCATGTAGAATCAAAATTTTCATCTCTTTAATTTCCCATATTTAGTCACAGCTCTGTCCTCTGCCACTACACTGAAGGATACTAATCTTTTATCACCACTGCCGAAATCATTTTGCACAGGATATACCTAAGTACATAGCCAAGGGCTGGTTCTTAGTCATTTTTGTTCTTTGATATAGTAAAATATGCTGTTGTAGGGGCCCTGGAGTTTCTTCTCACATTGTGCAGAAGGAGGTTCCTTCAATGGAAGGGATGAATCTATGGTCAGGTACAGTTTGTCAGAGCCCAAGTCTGTTAAAGATTAATTAGTCACTGTTTTGGTCCTGGGCAGTGTCCAATTTTAGGGTAGGGAGGGCTGTTTCTGCCATCAAGGAGGGAACAGTCAAGTCAAAGACAGAAAATATATGTGCACTTCAGAATTTCAGTGAGATGAATACAACAGATAAAAATACTGTGAACTCATTCCCTGGGAACATTTCTGAGGGTACATGGTTCAGAAAGGCTCCCAGCCACACTGGGCCTGCAGAATGAGCACCTTCTCAGGGCAACGCCTCGTGCTGTGGCTTAGGCCTCCTTAGTGACTAGGAGATTCCCTGTGGCCTTGAAGGAAACTGTCCCCGTGCCATGCCCATCTGTCTGAAAATAAAGGCCCTTTTTTATGGATAAAATTGGCATAGAAATGTTATTTGTTTGGCAACTATCTTTTTTGAAAACAAAATTAAAAGGAAGGAACATTATTTGTGGTAGCTCTGTGAACAGGATTCAGGACATGCTATTCTCTGTACCACCACATTATCAACAATTCATGGTATCTGTGGAAGAAACAGAAAGGCCTTGTTGAAATGAGGGGCACATGGAAAACTCTAGTATAAGGAGACCTTAGGGAAAACAATGTAATAGAAAAAGGAGTCTCGGTATCTGGATTCCACTGCTACTGGCTGCCACTAAGCAGAAGCCTCAGTGCTCTTCAGCCTTTTTATTGCCTTCTTCCCAGCCTGTCTTGGCTCCCTTGTAACCTCAGGGGGCACTGACCTTGAGTTTGCGTCTTTAAATCTTTGTTTTCCTAGCACCTAAGACGTTGCTGGCTTTGCTTTCTGTGTTTTGCCATAGCCATCCCTCCCTGTGAATGCACCCTGTCCTTGGCCTTCTAATCATCTGTTAATCTCCCTAAATGGTCTTCTACTTTCATACTATCCCCCATCCATTGGCGATGACCCTACAGCTGCTCTGCTGGCTTTCAGACCTTTATCTCCACCTGCTAATTAGAACTCTTCAGTGCTGGATCTTGGTATCTACAGAGAGACCCTGGTTTTCCTTCTCTGGTAAACCTGTTTCTCATACGATTGCTTGGTTAACATATTACCCTATCCTCTGAGCTATAAATGTCTATGTTGTCCTTGATTTCTTTCTTCCCTACTATCTTGACCCATATACCAAGCATTAGCTTCTTTTTCTAATGAATGAATTTTATTTTATTTTAACTCAGGCTTTGTTTTGTTTTGAGACAGGATCTCGCTATGTAGTTCAGGCTGGCCTCAAGCTTTTGGCGATCCTCCTGTCTCTGCCTCCCAAGTGCTGGAATTACAGGCCTGTGCCACCACGCCAGGCAAGAATGAGCTTCTTACCTGGACTCCATTTCTCCTGCCTCCTCTTCTCCTGCCTCCTCCTCTACTGCCATCCTCCAAATCCACCTCCACCTCCACCTCTATGAGACTTAGAGCTTGCCCTTCTCCAATCCTTTCCATCCCTATAATTCCCCCTTGCCTGTAAACTTAAGTCCTTCCCTCGACCCTGGCTCCTGCCACATCTGCTCTCCCTGGACTCTAATGACTGGTCATCTGCTTAGAATGACAAAGCCCTTTGGTCTATCTCCTCTGCCTGGCAAATTCCCATTTGTCATTTAATATTTATTTTAAATGCCATTTTCTCTGAAGTCTTTTTTCAAAGAAAGCCCTTCTCTCCTCTGAAAAACTGTCTTATCTCTAGGCTGTCACGACATTGCACTGCCATACCCCTTATTACACAGCAGGTAGAAGTGTACAGTCCTGGCACATGCCAGCTTAGTTTGAGAGCTCCTAAAGGCTAGGAATTATCTTACTTATTTCTGCATCCCTGGACCCAGAAGAAACTGCACATTGTAAGCAAATAATGGACATTTTTTAGGATATGTGTTATTTATTATAGGAGTCTTGGAAGGGACTTTCTGATCTGGGCAACTGAGTTCAGAGAAGAGGGTACCTTGCTCCTGGTGACATCGTTTTCCTGCGGAGGGACTAAAAGCATGGCTCTGGTCTCCTCCCATTCTGACTTGGCAGCAGCCCCCTAAGTTTCCATCCATGTTTCCAATCCTTACCTTTCCTCCTGGATTAGTTACACAATAACAAAGTGGGGTTTATTGATACCCACTTCAAATACACTAATTTTTTAGTGTAGCAGTTCTAGCTACTTGTTACAGAGTCATGTGTGCCTCAGGTTAAAAGCTCTCCTGTTCTCGATCTAGTGAAATACAAAAGAAAAGAAAAGAAAAGTTTTAATCCAGCAATATCTCTTATTTCCTGTATATGAAGAGGCTTCCTGTGGTGCATTGGTTTTCACATAGGTACAAGTCTATTAGTCCTTAATATAGGTAATTTGATAGGCAAGGGGTAAAACTGCTCAGTCACAAGGAGACGAGTAGGAGGATCTCTGCAAGAGCACTGTGCTTAGAATCTGGAAGTTTGGGTTTTGGTTATAGTGCTTCAGTTGTTCTGTGCTGTAATATTTTCCTTATGTTAAATGGGATTAATGATAATAGTTACAAATGGCCGTACAAAATATAAGAGGCTTAACATGTGTTTCGATTCACCCCTTACTGATAATGGTACAGAGGGAGTTTTACAAGGTGACCTTGTTTGGCCAGTTTTATGAACCTGTTATTTATCGAATTCTAATGCAGGGACTGGGGATTTAGCTCAGTGGTTCCACTGCCTGCCTCACAAGAGCAAGGTCCCAAGTTCGATCCCCGGTACCAAAAAAAAAGAAAAAGAATTCTGATGCAGCCCTTAGAGGGCAAAAGTTGGAGGGGAACTGATTCCACAATTCTGAATGTTATTGAATCCGTGTTACTAAGATGCTGGCATGAATGTCACACTAATGCCAGTTCTTTCTTACAGTTTGAAAAAGAACTTCAAAGAATTTCAGAAGCCTATGAAAGTCTGGTCAAGTCGACCACCAAGCGAGAGTCGCTGGACAAGGCAATGAGAAACAAACTGGAAGGCGAGATCAGACGACTTCATGATTTCAACAGAGACCTCCGAGGCAAGTTCTCCTCATGTCCTTCCTTCTACACTGCCCAGGTGCTGATAGTCCAGTTCCGGCCCAAATTGCTTTGCCACAGATGCCATTCTTCCTGTATTAGATTTTCTTTAAATTGCAGCCATCTGGTAGGGAAAGGTGTTTGAAGAACAGGATTGTTCTCTCCAGTCTTGTAGGTGGTAGGGAGCAGCATGGAGCCTTAGAAGTGACAATCTGCATGTACAAGGCTGGGAAAGGAAGGGACTGTGTGTAGCTCTGAGTTCTTTTAAAGTACTCAGCAGTAGTAGTCATGACTGTGTGGATGGGAGTGTTTCAAAGGACCAAGGCTGGCTGCACAACCCTTTGTCCATCAGGCTGAGTCACTTGGTAGCATTCTTTGGAAGCCAGCACCTGAGTTGCTAGGTATAACATTGGAGACAGAACTATACATATGTTCTTACTGGAGAAAGAAAAAAGCCCATAGATTTGAAGAGAGTAGATATATCTCCTTCTTGAAAGATCAGAGCCACCTGTTGTGGAATCTTGGCCACCTCTGGTGTGCATGATGGCTTAAAACATAAAGTTTTACCTCACTCTCAGTCAGGCAAGCCACTTTTCAGTTGACTCGTATGCCCATGTGGTCCCCAGTAGCTAGATACTACTTTTTCTCTTACTACAAGCTCTTTTGTTTTGAATATCTTATACATCCTATAAATACTCAGTGAGTCAGATTATTTCATTGGATAAATGAAGATCTGTCAAGTAGTTTGAACAAACAGAACTTCCTGTGTGCCATCTTTGTAGACCATTTTGATCTTTTTGGTATTAATTTGTTATTTTTATCTATTTTCGATGTTGAGATTCAGTTAGCAGTCACTGGCTAAAATGTAGGGCTGATGGTCAGGGTTACACTGTGGCTGGGTTTCAGGTTATGAAGACTTCGGGAAAGCATTGAATCAGAGGCTTGCTGTCCTTTGAAGGAGTGAAGCAGTTTGTATTACAAACTATCCGTCGTTGCCTGCTGCTAGTGCATACTCTTTGGACTGCATAAAGACACAGGGCAGCACCTGAAGCCCTTTCTTGTGATATTTGGGAACATGGTTATAATAGTTTCTTCTCAAAAATTGTTCATTTTGGGGCTTCTGACTGAGGATTCTTCATACTCTTTGGCATCACTTCGTTTCACCATTGGATGTTGACTTAAATCGATGTGCACTTATTTTCAATCACTTCCTATTTATTCATAGATCGACTAGAGACAGCCAACAGACAGCTGTGCAGCAGGGAATACCAGGGGCATGAAGATGAAGCTGCAGAGGGTCATTATGCTTCCCAGAGTGAGTCTCTACATTTATTTCCCCCAAAGCTGGATTTTTAATAATTTTAAATAGGTTTTGTGCTGTTCGCTTTCTGTGTGTTAATTTAGCGTACAGCCTCCTCGTCTTGGTGAAGCTCTTTTGTGGTTCTCAGAGACAAAGCCAAGACTGACATGTGTGTGTCATTTCAGTGATGTTGATTTAGTCCTTCTGACCTGCAATTCCTCAGTCTAAAATCTCCTACAAGGAATAGCAACATTACAATCTTTCTTGCCACTCACTATTTCAAATAAGACACAACCTTTTTCCTTAGGAGAGAGAGGGAAACTAAGTAGTCTTGGTTCTCTGGCTAGGTTTGTGCCCATTTAGGCCATGGAGTTCAAGACTGGCTGCACCTGCCAATGTGTGATCCATTTAAATGCTCATGCCATACATCTCCATAAGTAATGCTCTTTTCCAGAAACCACTAAACTGAACCCATCTCACCAGGAATAATAAACAAATTCTTTATAAACCACATCTATCAGGCAAATATTTTATTAGTTTTGCCAGAGGCAAATAATAAAATTAGATGGGTTTTGATGAACCATTGGTAAAAGTTTGAATTTCTGAAAATTCTTTACACAAGACAGTAATTTAAAAATCTTACTTTTCTTAAAGGTCTTTAGGAAATTGGATTCACACTTATATCATAATTCTCAACAATGTTATGTGTATCTAAGTACTCATGAAATATACACAATTGAAAGAACAAAAAGGAATGTATTCAGGCACTACTCATTCATTGTATGATAGTGATACTCTGATGTGAGCTTGTTAAATGTACCCCGACATAAAGGTTGGGAAATGGCTAAATTTTTAAAATTTTACTACTGTTTTGTTGAGTTTAACTTCCTTTGTTTCCCCCAAATTTGCTTCTATTGCATTACACTTTTTTGTTACCTCTTCATTTTAAATTCATTTTTATTTTTCCAATGTATATTTTTATTTGTGTTTATTAATTTTGCAAAATGTTGGGTTTCATTTTGGTATTTTTATACATATTTTGATCACCACCCTGCTTTATTTTTAAATTCTGTTTTTGGCAAGCAAACACTATCTAGGGCTTTTGCCCCAGATTCTATTTACAAAGACTTGGTTTCCATTTTGTCATTTTCTCATATTAATCCCATTCCCTTCTTTCCTTTCCCTACCCTTCCCACTTCCCCTTCCTCTTTACCCCTTTTCTTCCGACTTCACATTACCTATTATACCTTTTAGTCCTTATTTACACTTTCAGTTTCTCACACTAGAGAAACTATTTGGTATTTACACATGTGTGCTATTTATTTCACTTAAGAGTATGGCCTCAGTGTGCATCCACTTAGCTATAAATGTCTCTGATTTCTCGTTTTTTATGGCTGAGTAGTACTCCATTTTATAATACAACCACATTTTCTTTATCCAGTCTCCAGTTGATGGGCACTTGGGCTGTTTCCAAGTTTTAGCTATTACAAACTGTGCTGCTATGAACATGGGTACACATATATCATTATGGTCTGATTCTTTTAATTCTTTGGGGAAGACACCCAGCAGGGAATAGCTGGGTCAAATGGGAGTTTATAGTCCTAGTTCTTTGAGGTATCTCCATACTGATTTCCACAGTGGTTGCACCAGTCTACACTCCCATCAGCAGTGGAGCAGTGTTCCTCTTTCCCCACAGCCCCGCCAGCATTTGTTATTGGTTGATTTCATGATAGCAGCCATTCTTTCTGGGGTGAGATGGAATCTTAGCATTTTTTTCATTTGCATCTCTAGAATGACCAGTGATGTTGAACATTTTTTCATATGTTTACTTGCTATTTCTACTTCTTTGTCTGAGAAATAGCGGTTCATGTCAGATGCCCATTTTTGGATTGGGTCTTTAAATTTGGGAGGTCTGATATTTTTTAAGTTCTGTATAGATTCTAGATAGTAGACCTTTGTCTGAGGAACAGCAGGTAAAATTTTTTTTCCCACATTGTGTGTTGTCTCTTCACACTGTTGTTGGTTTCTCTTGCTGTACAGAAGCTTTTTTTTTTTTTTTTTTTTTAAGTTCTTTTATTGTTACAGTTTAGGTATATAGTACGTTTACATTTATCACTGGGTGCTTGTACCTGTACATGACATATCTTGCTTCTTATTTTTCCCCATTACCTGTGCACCCTTCACCCCCTCCACCCTTCCTTATTTACATAGACTTCGTTTCAATTATTTTTCTTTTCTCATTTTTCCTTTCCCTTCTTTTCTTTCTCCTTCCCCTCCCACCTCCTTACCTCTTTGGGCCTTTTCTTCATATTTCAAATTATCAGTTATTCATTTTAATCATTTTAATCCTTATTTACACTTTTAGTTTCTCACATTAGAGAAACTGTGTGTCCTATTCATTTCACTTAAGAATATGGCCTCAATATGCATCCATTTAGCTAAAAATGTCTCTAGTTTCTAGTTCTTTATGGCCAAGTAGTACTCCATTTTATTAAAAAAACACATTTTCTTTATCAGGTTTCCAGTTGTTGGGCACTTGGGCTGTTTCCGAGCTTTAGCTATTACGAACTGTGCCGCTATAAACATGGGTGGACATGTATTGCTGTGGTATGATTCTTTTGCAGAAGTTTTTTAATAAGAAGAGATCCCACTTGTTGATTGTTTGTGCTAGTTCACTGGTAACTGAGGCTTTGTTCATAAAATTGTTTCCTACACCAGTGTCTTCAAGAATTCTACCTAACCTCTCTTCCAGCTGGTTCAGCGTTTCTGTTTTAATATTTAGATCTTTAATCCATTTCAATTTTAGTTGAGTGCATGTTGAGAGATATAGGTCTAGTTTTAATCTTTGGCAAGTTGAAACCCAATTTCTCCAGCACCATTTATTAAAGAGGCTATCTTTCCTCCAGTGAGGGTATTTGGCTCCTTTGTCAGAGATGAGGTGGGTGAGTGTGTCTGGAGTTGTTTCTGCATCTTCTAATCTGTCCCACTGGTCCTCAGGTCTGTTTCTTTCCCAGTCCCATGCTGTTTTTATCACAGTAGCTTTGTAGTATAGTTTCAAGTTGGGCGTTGTGATACCCCCTGCCATGTCTCTGTTGCCTAGTATTGCTTTTGCTATTCTAGGTCTCTTCTTGTTCCAAATGAATTTTTGGATTATTTTCTCAACGTCCGTGAAGTATGCTTCTGGGATTTCAATTGGGATTGCATTGAATCTATATAGCAGTTGTGGAAGTATGGCCATTTTCACTATGTTGATTCTTCCTACCAAGGACCAAGGGATGTCTTTCCATTTTCTGATACCATCTCCAATCTCTCTTTTCAGAGTGCTATAGTTTTCAGAGACGAGGTCTTTGATTTCGTTAGGTTGATTTCTAGGTATTTCAGTTTTTTGGATGCTATTGTGAAAGGAATTGTTTTCCCTATTTCTCTCTCAGTGAGTCTGTTGTTTGTGTAGAGGAAAGCTATTCATTTTTGTGTGTTGACCTTGTATCCGGCTACTTTACTGTATTTGGTTATTAAGTCTAAAAGACTTTTGGTGGAGTTCTTGGGGTCTTCTATATAGAGTATCATATCATGTGCAAATAATGATAATTTAACTTCTTCATTTCCTATCTTTATTCCTGTTATTTCTTTCTCTTTCCTAATTGCTGTGGCTAATGTTTCCAAGACTGTATTGAACAGGAGTGTTGATAGTGAACATCCTTGTCTTGTTCCTGATTTTAGTGTGAAGGATTTCAGTTTTTGACCATTTAGTATAATATTGGCTGTTGTTTTTTCATAGATGGTTTTTATCAGATTGAGGTAGAGACCATCTATTCCAATTTTTTGTAGAGTTTTTAATCATAAATGTGTGTTGGATTTTGTCAGATGCTTTTTTTGCATCTATTGAGATGATCATATGGTTTGTGTTCTTGGCTCTATTGATATAGTGTATTACATTGATTGATTTGCATATGTTGAACCATCCCAGGGATGCAATCCCACTTGGTCAGGGTGTATGATCTTCTTGATGATCTTCTGCATTCTACTTGCCAATATCTTATGAAGGATTTTTGCATCTATGTTCATTAGTGAGATTGGCCTATAGTTCTCTGTTTTGGTTGGGTCTTTCTCTGCTTTGGGGATCAAGGTCATGCTTGCTTTCAGGAATGAATTCAGGAGTATTGCTTCCCTTCCAATTTCGTTGAAAAGTTTAAACAGTAGTGGCAATAGTTCCTCTCTAAATGTCTTGTAGAATTCAGCAGTGAAGCCATCAGGACCTGCGCTTTTCTTAGTTGGCAAGTTTTTAATTACATTTTCAATTTCATTGATTGATATTGTGTTGTTTAGAATTTTTAGGTCTTCTTCTTCGTTCAACTTTGGTAATTCATAGTTATCTAGGAATCTGTCCATTTCTTCTGTGTTTTTCATCTCATTGGCATATAGGTTCTCAAAGCAGGTATAGATGATCCTCTGGATTTCTGCTGGGTCCAATGTAATTTCATCCTTTTCATTCCTAATTGCATGGATTTGGGCCTTTTCTTTCCTTTTTCTGATAAGGTTGGGTAAAAATTTGTCAATTTTCTTTATTCTTTCGAAGAATGAACTCTTGGCTTCAATGGGTTTTTTGTATTGTTCTCTTAGTCTCCATTGCATTGATTTCTGCTCTGCTCTTTATAATTTCCTCCCTTGTATGAGCTTTGGGTTTGTCCTGCTGTTCTTTTTCTAGAAGCTTGAGGTTTGGCATCAGGCTCTTTAATTGAGCTCACTCTATTTTCCTAATATGAGTATTCACTGCTATGAATTTCGCTTGTAAGACTGCTTTCATTGTGTCCCATAGATTCTGATATGTTGTATTGTCATTGTCACTTAATTGAAGGAACTGTCTGATTTCTGTTTTTTTTTTTTTCTTTGGTACCGGGGATCGAACTCGGGACCTTGCACATGCGAGTCAGGCACTGGAACCACTGAGCTAAATCCCTGGCCCAGTCTGATTTCTTGTTTACTTCCCTCTGTTATTCCTCATTGGTTATTCAAAA